TCACACTGAATCATGCAGTTAATTCTCCCAGACAGACAAGGATGGTGCATGGGCATGAAGGAGCTGGCTGGCCGCCTGCGAACCCAGGCTTCTGTCTGTACCTTCATCTGCTTTCAACCCTCCAAAAATTGAGGCTTCATATCAGAGATAAGAGCAGGAAAATTATCTGAATCACCAAATCCAGCAGGTCCCTACAGAATCTGGCTTTTAAGTCATTAAATTTACCACCTGTTAGATCCCTTTTTTTTCCCCGCTGGTCCTGGGACTTGAACTCAGGGCCTGGGTGAGCAGTCCAGCCTGAGCACTGTCTCTGAGCTTTTTTGCTCAAGGCTGGTACTCTACCACTTCAGCCACATTTTCATTTATGACTTTTTGGTGGTTAACTGGAGATACGGATCTCGTGGACTTTCCTGCCTGGTCTGGCTTTGAACCTTGATCCTCAGATCTGACTCCTGAGTAGCTAGGATTATAGATGAGAGCCATTGGTGCCCAGCACGTGCCAAATCCTTTAAGGTAAATTTTATTATTTGAGGTTTCAAATCTTGAATAGAGAGACAAACTATTGTTTAAAGTGAAAGGCTGTTAAGAGTCAACTTCTTAGGTTAAAGAAAAAATGAAGGAAGTTATATAACCCCTCTGTATAACACTTTTATAATAATAATTTTTTAATGAAAGAAGGAAAATTGGATTGTACTATGCTTGAATAGGGGGAAAAAAAGGGTTGGCATGTTCTGTTACAACATTAAAAATTTAAGAATGTAGACCTGTAGGGATCTTACTGGTAAAATTAGAATGCAAGAAATCTACCATTAACCATTAACCGAAAAGATTCAAATATAATCAAATATAATCATCAGCCAGGAAAGGGCTGTCTTCTACTTCAGTGCGCTTCACAGAAGGAAGCTAAAAGTGTGCTTTAAATGTACATTAAAAAAGAAGAAGAAGAAAGGATTCAACTGTCACATGAGGGCCAGTCAGGGACTCAGAATGTAGGCTGTCTCTGGGAACAGTCTGCGAGCCTCTCAAATGATACAAGCTGCACCCAGCCAGTCAGGAAACGTCTCCACCTCCCCCAGCACTGAGCTCTCAGCTCGCAGACACCCAATTCATCCTTCTCCTTCCTACAATTCCAGAACGACTTCTAAAAGAAGCCCGTGCATTACCCATCATGCACTTTTCACTGCGGCTGCTGAGCAAGGCAGGCATGAACTGTTTGTACCTTATCTACTTTAAATATATTTTGTTAAATTTTATTAATCTATGATTATTCATATCAAGTTAGAAACAGATGGACTATGAATACATAAAACCATACTGATTCCCTAGTCTGTCTTCAACCACATTTAACTTTCTTTGAAATACATATTTAATTGAAAATCCTAACATCAGGGATCCTAGCGTTATTGCAGATGAAGGGTGAGGGATAAGAGAACTCACTGGAAGAGAGACCGCCATGAAATAATACATGCAGAGTCTCACATCGGCTTCGACTGGGCCTATCTGGATTAGATCAACGGGTTATCTATGAGGGAGAAACAGCGAAGCTTCTGCAATAGAAAGCTGTGAAGATGAGAGACGGGACTCTGGCTCACCCCTCCTGATTTCCTTGACCACCATGCAGAGTCTAGCCTAACGTTCTCTCCACTGGTAGCCCATTGTGCTTGCTGAAATTCCTTCCTCAGTCAAACGGACTGGCTTGATCAAACTTATCAAAGTTCAGATTTTTGACAGAACCATTCAGGCTCTAGGATCATACAAATATAGATTTTTTTTTGGCTTGTCTAGATGTTTTCTTCAAGATGACTTTCTGGTGCGCACAGCATTACAAAAACAATCACAAACAGTGGCTACCTTATGAGATATTGTCAGTCCTTGAAATCCTTTCTCCAAGACCTGCGTTCCCTGACTACCCAAGTAAGCCTTCTGCCCTCCCAGCATCCCTAGCAACATGGTCCTCTATGTCTCTGGGTTGCAGTACATTGAACGAGGGTTCACGACTGGTCTAAGTGAAGTGAGTGCATTCCTTCACACAAAATTTGATTCCAGAATTCCTGACCATTTCTCGTAGCTGCTTCATCTGATGGCCTGAAAGACTTATGTCAGGTGTACAAAGATGCAAAAGGCCAGTCTATGACGAACAAACCGGGCAGCCAGGTGGTGCGGAGGGGAGAGGGGGCGGAGGGAGGGTGGAAGGAAAGCAGGTGAGGAGGCTGACACTCCCTGAAGGTGGCTTCGTTTCCGGCTCCAGCCCTGTCCCAATTCCCGCTCCCAGATGCCTGGTGCTTACACTGAGCCGCCTGGTGTGGTCTTACGTGGCTCGTGTGAGCTTCTAATGCCGGAATTGAATAAAGTTTCAAGTAAAGGTTAGACAACACTCTCACTTTCAATATGCCGCATTCTGGTTTTTTTAAAATAAATAAGCTGCCATCTGCTATAGGTTATCAATTCAGAGCAATATAAGATCAATATAAGAATTCTGAGAGCCTTGAGGGAAAATATTAAGGGTGAAAGGTAGAAAATAATTGTCAGACAGCCAAAGATATAGTTGGTTGATAAATGACCTCCATTTAGCTGTTAAAATAGATACACATGGGTAAACACAGCTACCGATACAATGGGATACACACTGGTAGACACAATTCCTGACTCAGAATATTGCTTCAAAACTTCACTGGCACGCTATTAACATCTCTATTGTAACCCTAAAGATGTGAGCTTCGCCAAATCTCAAAGGGCAAAGTCATGGTCAAATTCTCCCCACCCGCTCCTTATCATCTCTGCCAAGTCCGTCTGAAGACCACGAAGTGCTGAAGAATGAATGCGGCTAGCTGAGTTCATGACAGGAGACCAAATCACAGCCTGAGTAGTCTGAAAGTACACACTGAAGGTACCCTGCTACCCTGTAGGGATTTTCCTAACAACCCAATGCAGTTTCCTCAATCAGCATGAAAGGTATGGTTAATAATCGTGTGTTGTGTGCTGGGACTTGACTTCAAGAGCAGGTGTTACTCTTTATATACGGTTACCTGTGAAAGACAGATTTGCTAGCTTGTTTGAGTGTAGTAACTGCATTATGTATAGCAAGACATCACGCTGTACACATGCTGTACATATACAGTATATATGATGAATGTATATGCCTATATATTAGTGTGTATATATATATAAAAAAAATATATATATATATATATATATGCCTATAATCCTGCTATTCAGGAGGCTGAGATCTGGAGGCTTGTAGTTCAAAGCTGGCCTAGGCACAAAAGTCTGCAAGGTTCCATCACCAATTAACTAGTAAAATGCTAGACTGGAGGTGTGGCTCAAGTGGTAGAGAATGAACAGAAAGCAAAATGAAAGTAGTCATTTCTTTTATAGTTGAGTTATATGAATGTTATGTTAAAGAAAAGGGAGATTTCAAGTTTAAAATATGAGTTGACAGGAGTGTTCTTAATTGAAAGTTGATGTTTACAAAAGAAATATCTGTATTATAAATGTTTTCAGGTCAAAACATCCTCTAAGTACAGCAAGATTATCATAGTTTTTTTTAAAAATATAAAAACCTGTTCACCATGGCAACTATAATCCAAATGATCCATTCGGAAGGCAGTAAACACTCCATGATGTGTAAGATATTCAGGCTTGAGAACTCCCAGTCAGGAACTGAACGCATATAAAGTGAGAAAAACCAGGACAGTCGACAGCAAAGCCATCATCAGTTAACAAGAAAAAAAAATCTCGTGTTCACAGAAGTGGCTGGAAAGCGCTGTAGATGCGAATGAGGGGTCTTATCAACCCACGTGTATCAGCCAAACAGCTCTTCCCGAAAAGCTTTCAGAGGGCTAAAGAGTTTGCAGCAAATCTGATTTCCAACTCTGAAGAGAGACCCGGTCCCTGACAACTGAAAGTTAGACTTCATGGCTTTTTTGAGTTTACAACAGGGAGCAAATAACACTCTTTCAGGGGGAACCGTACTGTAAGGGTTGAATGTTGGGACTCAGCCACAGGGTGAAGGACTGTGTGTGGCTAGGCCAGGGTGCTCTGAGAGCTGCCACTGTCCGACACACTACGTCCACGGGTCACGGGCTGGCGGGGACCGAGCAGCGCTGAGGGGAAGGAGCACTGTTCAGCTTCCACGGACAGGTTTAAGGACCACAAGTCCTTGTGTGATTTTTCCCTGTGTTTTCGAAGCAAAGGAAACCTGTGGCTTCTAGGGAGTCACAACCACTCTGTCTGCGTGTCTCCGTCCCTCTCGCCTCCCGGCACTGCTGATGCGAAGGGCTGGGAGCTGAAATGGTTCCAATTTGGGATTTTCTTTTTCTTTTTTTTTTTTGTGCCAGTCCTGGGGCTTGAACTCAGGGCCTCAGTACTCTCCCTGAGCTTTTTTGCTCAGGCTAGTGCTCTACCACTTTAAACCATAGCGCTACTTCCAGCTTTCCCGGGTGGTTCATTGGAGATAAGAATCTCATGGACTTTCCTGCCCAGGCTGGCTTTGAACTGTGATCCTCAGATCTCAGCCTCCTGAGTAGCGAGGATGACAGGCATGAGCCACTGGCTCCCAGTTCCAGATTTGGGATTCTTTTTGGAGTTTAAGCTATTTGTACAAACATTCTGAGGTATCTGGGGGATAAGGACAAAGGACAAAATTCATGGGTGTTCCTTAAGACACAATGACCGAAGGTAACTGTATCAGTATTACTGTCACAATGTGATATTACACCTGTACTATGAACATGACCCCGTGCACCAGGTCGGATGTGGGATTTGCCTGTCTGGCATCATGATGGTTCACAGGAAGTTTTGGATGTGCAGTTCTTAGACTGGGAGCGCTCCACACGCTTGTGGAGATGACATTTGAACATTCCATTCCCAGTCACTGACCAGATTCCACCCACGCCTTCCTTCATCATAGATTCAAAAGCCGACGGGTCCATAACGTTCCTAAAGAACTCAGCGAGGTTACGCAATTTTAGAACGTGGAGGCTTCGGGTTAGTGACCTTACCTGCGCAAGTTTGCGCTTCTCTAGGGCTCCTTCCTTCTCATTGTGTGATGTGTACACCGGTGTATACTGTACCAGACCAGAACAGCTCCCATACTCCTCCTCACTCTCCTACACACAGAAAAATGGATGCGTAATGACTTTCGAATATCCCTTCCACTGCCAAAGTTACTTAGTAACAAAATGCCTGATCAATATGCAGATAGCAAAATACTATTATAAGTTATTTAGACCTTTAAGTTAAAAGAATGTATTTAAAAACAAAATACATTTTCTACTATAGAAACTAAAAATGTCCTAAATAATATGGTTATTTTGAATACTTTAAAATTTACTTCAAGATAATTTATTTTCCATCATCCAATGGAAGAATTTTTTTGAGTTTTCACCAAAGATTCAAAATATAACAATTGATAATAAAATTGGCAGAGAAATAAAAGCAAGCCAGACTCATATATACAGACCCATACACACACACACACACACACACACACACACACACACACACACACACCCCTATTCATTCACCTGTGGTAGTCATAGATTTATACACAAATTATCAAACATGATCTATTGTAAATTAATAACATTAATTCAAAGTAACTACTGTTAGAAAGAGCCTATAAAACTAAATCATAGCATTTCTAGATTAATTTTCTGCCAAAGGTATCTCTTTTAAACAATTCTCAGCTTGAAGCAAGAACTTCAATTGTGATTTCAAGGCAATCAGCTTTATGAAAACATACATCCTCTTAAAGCATCTTTGAAGAGCTCCAGAGCTCTGTGATAAAATATGCATTCAGTGAGGAGGTTACCCCATGGATGCATGGGGAATGGCAGGCTCTTGCCAGAGGGCTTGTTATGAAAAATACATTCTTGAACAAAGGGGCAAGCATATTTCAAGAGCCATTAAAACATTAATCCTATGTGATTTATAAAGTATAAGCTTCAAACTAACACAAGAATCAAGGAAAAAGAAGAACATGACACACCTTGTGTTTGAGCTTGCTCTTCACTTCTTTTAATCCCAGTTTTGCATGATTTTTTGCCTAGAAAATGGTGATAAATGTGTCTGGCTCAATATGAATCTATTGCCTTTTACAGAACAAGATACAAGATGAAATGGCCAACTATTCACATTATTTAGAGAAGCAACATTATCATGGAAATCTCCACACTCAGAGGTACCAGGCTGAACACAGGTGGCTCAGACCTATAATCCCAGCCACTCAGGAGGATGACATCAGAGGATTGAGCTTGGAAGCCAGCCCAGGCAGGAAAGTCTGTGAGACTCTTATCTCCAATTAATTATTGAAGGAGGAGGAGAAAGAAAGAAAGAAAGAAAGAAAGAAAGAAAGAAAGAGAGAGAGAGAGAGAAAGCAAAGAGAGAGAAAGAGAAAACAGAGAGAGAGAAAGAAAGCAAAAGCAAAGAGAGAGAGAGAGAGAGAGAGAGAGAGAGAGAAAGCCAGAAATATATGTGTGATTCAAGTGGCAGAGCACCAATCTTGAGCCAAAAAAGCTGAGGGACAGAACGCAGGCCCTGTGTTCAAGCCCCAGTACCAGCACCAAAAACAAAAAAAAAACAAATAAATACAATAAAATAAAACCCCTCAGGTACTGTCCATTTACTATTACACCATGGTGAATTTAACTATTGGACACATGCGTTGTCTTTGTATACTTTACAAACGTCGTTGCCAGCCGACACGTAGCCCTTTCTGCATCCTAAGCTCCACCGCCCAGGAAGGACTGAGGCAGCAGACCAACGCAACCAGAGTGGGAGAGGCATCACCCAGCATCACAGCTGCAGGGCAGAGGTGCAGGCTTCCAGAAGCCCAGACAACACAACTCTGCAGATCTGCAGAGCTTTGTTACTGAGCTCCACCCCCCCACCCCCACCCCCACCCCCCCCCACCCCCCGCCTCAGGTAGACGGCTCTGTGGGTCAGCAGAGCCATCTCCAGGGTGTAGATTTTCATAAATAGATTTTTTGAGCAATGACTGTGTGCTGGGTGCTAGTATGCACTGTCTCTGTGGTCACAGCGACTCCAAGAGTCCAAGAGACTACTGGCACCCTGTCTGACAGGTGAGGAAATTGGTGCAGGGAGAGTAAGTCCACCCAGCCTGGACTCAAATCTGGGTCTGTTGAATTGTCAAGTCCGATGCTGTTCTTTCCCCAAGGGGAAGGAAGCAGCAAATTCATCCGCTGAACTGACGTCTCCCTACAAAGGAGGCCTGGTGTGTGCATCGATACCGGCGGCACCCACAACGCCCACTCAGAGCCACGCTCTCAGTGACGCCTGCCTGCCCTAAGTGCTTCTCAGAGGGGCACATGCACGGACCCCCGAGTCCCTGGGAGAGAGGGATCTTATTCCAAATCAAATTCCCATCTACAAAGCCAGCTCGCACTAGAACAGTCTATGGTTCTTTAGAATAGATAAATCACCTTCCTCCTCAGTATTCTATTTGTCAAGTCTCCTAATCTATGTAAAGGGCCCTATATTAACCCTTACATTTCCACTAGACAAAAATAAATAATGACCAAGGAACAGTGCTTTGCCCTCCCGCTCCCAGAATTAGAACTCATCTGGGCCTTGCCCACATGTGACCCCAAGCATGCTTCATGCAAACGTCCTCTACTGCATGCCAACCTCCTCAGATACTCCTCCCTCCCTTGGCTCTACAATTTGCATCATTAGTTGAAATATCTACTGCTCTTCCTCCTCCCTAGATCCATTTCAGGTTACCTGGAAGATGGAATACACTTTACCAGCTGAAACTTACCAATAAGCAACCAAGACTTGAAGAGTCTTAATTTTCATATTGAAGTGACTTTTCCTTCACATTTTTCATTGTTTATGACTATCATTGATATACTTTTAACACTAATTTATGTGAATATCAAGGCCTCTTTGAGCAAAGAGATGATCATATTTTTCTGCTTCATTTTACTGTAGCCTCAAGTATATAAGGAGAAATCAAAATACATTGTTATACAAAACAGTCAGACTCACACAATGATACCTCATCATGGACGTTTCCAGAATGTACTGTGCCATTTTGCTAGTTGCTGTGAAATGGAATGAAGAGCCACTTCCATATTATATAAAAGAAATACATTTTCCATAAATGAAATAATTTTAATACCCAATCTTCTTTACTCAACAAGAACTCTAAGCTGCTTTAGAGCTTTCTTAACAGAAAACGTAACACTTACAAATTTGTATGCTGTTCGTACAGCAGGGGTCGCTCTAGTCACGGCCGTGTTGAAGAAAGCACTCCCTTTCTGCCAAGGGAAAGACAGACAATTTCCAAATGCTTTCGGACAAATGGTCTTGACAATAAGGCAGCTGGTGTACAGAAACAGAACTTCTCTCTCTAGCTAACGACCCACGTGTTTAATGTTACAGGTCTTCAAATGCTTTGATAAGTTAAAACAAAATCTAAGTACCCTGGTTCTGTTCTCAAGTTGGTGTAATCCATCATTTAAAAATCATCTCATTTTTAAGTGTAGGCAGAAGACCAATGTGGAAAGTGATATCTACATACATAAAAGTTAATAAAATGGAAATGCAACGTTTACTAGTTGTTTTAATAATGGACAATCAGTTCTCAATCTGTAGAAAAAGTTTTATAGCCAATCCTTTTGACAAAAATCCTACTACCGGGAATTATAAAATCCCCATCAAAATCAACCACTCTATTTAATTCCTGGTTGTGGAAAATTATATAAAGTGGCAGAGAAATCTTGGTATTTTTTTCCCTTTTTTAAAAAAAAAAGCCATTTATCTTTGACAAAGCTTTCCATCTTAAGGTCATGTTGATGATTGTCAACAATCATACTGCACTTTGGCTACCAGAAATAGAAACGTGAGCGGAAGCCTCAGGCGAGCCCTCGCTGAACTTGGCTCTGCACCGCGGGAGAACCGTGGGAGGGCCGTGGTTACCTTGACAGTGTGCACCCACTGCTGGTATGACCTTGGGTTCCCTGCAAGATATGAAAAGTACTTGGTCAAAAGCAAATCTCAGCACCGAAGTTCAAGCCATAGTATTCCCGGCGTCTTTATTCGCGGTGTCGCAGAAGACACGATCGCATTTGTAAGAATTAATAAACTGCTCTGATTCTTCGTAACAGAATGACCGACACCATTTAAATCATTCAATCACTTTTCTTTCATTCATAGATGAAACTAGATTGATTCTAAGGGTTTTTTTTTTTTTTTTGTCCCCCAACCCCAGGCCTAAGGCTCGAATACAGGCCCTAGCATTCACTCAGCTGGCACACTACCACTTGAGCCATACCTCCAACCCTGCTTTTTGCTGGCTAACTGGAGATGGAAATTCATGAACTTAGCAGCCTGGGGCTGGCCTTGAACTGTGGGCTTCTGGATCTCAGCTCCCTGAGTAGCTAGGATTTCAGGTGTGGGCCACCAGGAATCAGCTTTATAAATCTTCATTGTAACATTAAGTTTTGAGAAAAAATTAGATAATCTTGCTTTTGAAACTTAAAAATCCATGCTTTTTAAAGTAAATTTTCCACATTTTATTTCTATGTTTTTTTTTAAATGCCTCTTTCGGCAATAAAATTCATTTAAAACAGTATTTCAATTGCACTGAGAAATACAGAAGTAGAGGGAAATTTGGAAATACAAAGGACTATCGACAACAAAACATTATTTTGTAGAGGTCTCATGTGCACAAGTGATTTTATTTCAATGTAGTTAAACCATGGCTTTAGAAAACGTTTCTGAAAACATATTCTAGTTATGAAACCATAAATGTGAATCAGAGCACCATGCTTATCAGAAAGCTCAAATGCCCACAAAACCAGCTCTCGTAAACTCTGGTGATCAACATGTGTCCAAGTCAGAGAAATGTCTTCATCAAAAAGATGAGGAACCACACAGAAATAATTGAAAGTAATCTTTCTTATCAAGCTATTTCAGTTGGATTTCAACTACCACATTGAGTGTTTAAATGCTTAAACACTTCCTACATTATAAGCATGAAAAGTCACAGTAAAAGATAGACTCGGTTAAAAATAAATGTTCCTTCCTGTGGCTGTAGCTTTTTAAAGTTATTTCCCTACTGCTACCAAGTAAGAGAGGCAGAATGACCCCAGTCCAACAATTCTAGTTGTTATTATTACATCTTTGGTTGAAATCAGGCATATTCAATTTATTTATTTATTGCCAGTCCTGGAGCTTGAACTCAGGGCCTGGGCACTGTCCCTGAGCTTCTTTTGCTCAAGACTAGCACTCTACCACTTGAGACACAGCGCCACTTCTGGCTTTTTCTGTTTATGTGGTGCTGAGGAATGGAACTCAGGGCCTCATGCATGCCAGGCAAGCACTCTACCACTGAGCCACCTTCCCAGCCCCGTCATATTCATTTTTATACTTAAAATCTTTCCCTAACTTAAGAGACCTGAAGAAGCAGCTTTGACTCTTATATCTCTTAGCATTCAGCACTGCCACTGGGCTTTTTTTTTCTTGGAGAAAACTACAGAGATTAGCATTGTTTTTCACATCCTCACAAAGCAATGTGTTATTTACTTAAAATAACTTATTTATATGAGGTATGTTAAATAAATTGCTTGTTGAAAAGGCATGTATTTCATATGACATTGACTTAGACATATTATTTAATGTATGTTGAAGAATGATGACAAATTTGAAATTATCAGTTTATTTCTCAAGGAGTTTTTCTTAACTATGATGAAAATATAGATGATATACGTATTATATATCTTCATTTATTCAAATTGCTTAGATGCTTTATTTTATTCCATCAGCTTATATACCTTATACTTCTATGTTAAAAATGATTGAGTGGCCAGGTACCAATGGCTCATATCTGTAATCCTAGCTACTCAGGAGGCTGAGATCCGAGGATCTTAGTTTGAAAACAGCTGGGACAGAAAAGTCCATAAGAACTTTATCTCCAATTAACCACTAAAAAGCCAGAGGTGGAGGTGTGGTTCAAGTGGTAGAGCATCAGTCTTGAGAGAGAAATCCAAGTGAGAATGCCAAGTCCTGAGTTCAAGCCCCAGTACAGCATTCACACGGGTGCACACACATGTACGTACACACACACACACACACACACACACACACACACACACACACAGATGATGCGGAGATGCAACAAAATTAAGTAGACTTCTGTTTCTAAAATGAAAAGGCTCACTGGTTCTTTAAATTTTAATGTTTTCAGGATTTATGGTTCTTATTTCTACAAAATTTATGAGACAAGCACACAATCTTCAGTAATGCTAAAAACTAAAACTAATCTTTTAAAAAATTAGTTTTGAATGCCAACAAAAAAAAAACCCTCTCAGTTTTTCTTTTTAAATTAACTGGTTTATGGCAACTAATTAGCATTACTGAGGAATTTCCTAACATTATTCTTGTTAAACAACTGGCGCTGTCATGCTCAAGGACAGAATTCCTTCAATTTTCACTCGTACAAAGACCCTTCAAATGTTTTTTAAAAATATGTTTAAGTTCCCATAATTTGTGGTCACTTATCAAAATATGTAAATTGCTCTTAAGTGTTCAACGTGGACCAAAACGAATTCCACTGGAGCTGATAAACACCTATTGCCTCCTCAAATTCTCCCATTCTTCAGTCAATAGAAAGAAACATAAGTAAATAAAAGTCGTTAACAGCTGACGTCAAGAAACCATGAAGACATGCAACCAATGGGGAGAATCTACACACTCCAACGAAATCAGCTGTATTCCACCTTTATTGAGAGCTTCTGATGTGGGTTTAACAACTAGCTTTATTTTGGCTAAAAAAAAAAAAAAAAAAAAGTCGTGTTCTTCCCTGCGCCTGTTCTTAGCAGCTTCCCCTAATTGGGTTCTTGTTCTGCTTCTTGTCCTCCGTCGTTGCTTTTCAACCACAACGGGCATGTGCTTCTCTCTCCACACCGCTTGGTAGCTTTAGTCCTTGAGGAGTTAAGATTCCGCAAGAATCTCATGAGGGGAGCCAGGGACGTAGGGAGGTCATACAATTTCCTTACCAGTTCTGACCACGGAGATTCATGGGGCAGAAAAAGGTCGAGAAAATCCCCACTCATTTACAGATGCCTTCCCCATGCCTCCAGATCCAACTGTGTATCTCCACAACCTAGACGTAGGTGATGATGCTTTACCGTGTGCTCTGATTTGATCCAGGAATAGAAAGCCCTCGTATTAATGTGATGCTAACATGAACACAGCCTATGAACTACCATTGCAATGTGGGGAGGGATCAAGGGAGAAAACAGACACTTCCTTGAAATGTCAAAATTACTTTTGCCTCAAGGAACTTTCTTTTTGTTTTTCCAGTTTGAGTTAATTTCTCCTAGCCCAGGGATCATTCCGGGCCTCTGTGTGTAAACACATTTTTCATAGATATTCAAGACAGAATTTTGGTTTGATTCAGCCAAAAGTCTGAGTGCCATGCTGGCTTACTACAGTGTTTGCTAAGACTTCTCATAAAGAATTAATATACTACGGTTATTGAGCAGGTAAATGAAGCCAGGAATACATGCAACCCATTCTCTGTACTTGCCTCAGGACTGTGGGAGGGACAAGGCTGAGCTGTGCTTGGCAGTAGAGCACCTGCCTAGCAAGTATCACGTCCTGAGTTCAAATCAATACTACCACTGTGATCACATGAGATAATACTACTTGTCATTCCCCTAGGAGAGGTTCTGTCACATATTCATAACAGCTAGTGTCAGCAATTATTACCATTACTCCCAGAAAAGTGATGAGGTCAGAAGTTTTCACTTTGTGAAAGAATAGGTAACATTCATGACATTGCTAGATTCTTTTTTCTCCTACACGTGAGGAGTACATTTCTAGAAACTATTTTTTTTTTCGGTTGTGGGGCCTGAATTCTGGGCCTGGGCGCTGTCCCTCAGCTCTTCAGCTCAAGGCTAGCGCTCTACCACTTGAGCCACAGCGCCACTTCTGGCTTTTTCTGTTTATGTGGTGCTGAGGAATCGAACCCAGGGCCTCATGCATGCAAGGCAAGCACTCTACCACTGAGCCACCTGCCCAGCTCTAGAAACTATTTTTGAAGTGCGCACGCGTGAGCGCACACGCGCGCGCACACACACACACACACACACACACATCTCCTAATTAATTAGCTGTTAGAAAGGCATTACAAAGTTTTATTAAGATTGTTCATTTTGCTTATTTCAAAGTCTAATAACTTATGCTTTATTTTGTTCTAAGGATAGTTTCTATTTATCACTAACATAATCTAAAATACAGCTAAAAATAACACTTTAACACATTTTTAAGGAACTCTTTTATCCACTGAAACTAAAAGATGTTGAACTAGGCATTTCTTTTGCATAAACATTTGCTCCCATAAGTTAGAATGTAAGAGTCCTTTCACTATAATAAAGAACAGCCAAGCAATGCGAACTATTTTTACTAAAAGCAGCCATCAGACAATACTCAGTGATCATGTCCCCTACTCTTTTTTAAAATAATAGATCTTTAGTTAGAAAAAGTCTATTACCCTCTTCGATCACTCGAAAAGCCATCTACCTCTATTACAGAGGTATGTGGACCAATGGTTACCGTGAGAGAGTTTACTGTACAAAAAGATCATAGTTCTACCCTATTACTGTCACAAGATGTCATCTTCAATTCTACAAAAGCTACCTGCCCCACGGGTCATAAAGATAATGAGACAGCAGTTATGTAAATGCTGAATTTAGGCCCCAAGCCATTTGTCCATAAGCTGACAATATTTCGCTTGTCTGAGTTAAAAAGTAAAGAAGCATTATTTTAACACCAGAATTCCATTGAAGCTATATTTTTTTTTAACCAAAGAGCTGAGGACAGCGAGTAGCTGGGCCTCCGCGGGCGTCTCTCGGGCTGAGGTGGAGACGCTGACGGCTGGCCAGGCCTGGTGCTGTCCGTGAAAAGCCACGCGACCCAGCAGGTCACGGCGCATCTGCACCGTGAGTCTACACCCACCAAGCTCGCCCTTTTCACGAGAAAAATCACCCCTCTCTAATGCCTTCTGTTCTTATGGTGTGGAAACTAAAGCACTGTTCCAAAAGAAAATTTAACGTGTGGAGACTGTATAGCGGCTTACTCCCTTCTCCTGTACTGTATTTCAACTCTAGCAATTGCACGCATATAGATTTAAGAACTGCTCTCAAAACAAATACACACCAAACAGGAAAATACCAGTGCTATTGTTCCAATTCAAAATGAACGTAGGAAGATGGAAGATGTTCACTGAGATACCAGCACCAAGAATACTGAGCATTCAGCACTGGCTGAGTGAACGAGTAAGTAAACAAATGAACAAACAGGACATTTCAAGACTTAGGCAAAACAAATCTCTGCAAGCCAGGACCATCCACTAGAATTGAGAAACAAGTGTCAAGTGATAAATCATCAATTACTGAGATGATTATAACACTAAATATTTACATTTGAAGGAGCTATTATATATAGAGAGTGGCAGATAAAACTTTGCTAAGGCTGCAGTAGCTTACAAAGATAAACAGGTAACGATTTCTGGATTAATAATACCCTAATAGGTATGAATTGTGCTATTCAAATATTTCCTTTTAGATTTCCTTTCTGATTATATTACAATGTTCTATTTCTGTCATAACTTCATTTTTAAAAAAAAATAAAAACATAGTCATAGACATCATAGCCATATAGCAGGTGCTGTAGTTCAGGAGGAAAGGCTAATGGCTTCAAGTCAACTAGTCTTCTGTGCTATTTATTTCCAATAAAATGAAGAGATTAATTGAGCAGACACCAATTCATGAGACCTTCACACTGCCTTCATAACAGAAATCATGCAAAGTGATATGCACTTAAAGTAGTGTCTAGCTAGGAGACAGATAAGAAGTAGCCGTTGGTGAAATACACAATCAAACACAAGTATAAGATCAAGATGTTATTTAGAAAATGGAGAGCGTACTGTAAAACAGTCTTTACCTCCACAAAAACCACCTGAAGTGATCTCTTCTTCAAATACATCAGAGAAGCCCTTTCCTGCATTTAGTTTTGCCAGCCGACCATCGATAAACTGAAAATGAAAAAGTAGTAAATGTTAATTTTTCATGTTCTAAAGTATTAAAATTTTTACTTCCATCAAAATATGCACAGCAGATGTTTTCATCTGCTTTTGCATGCTGTGGCGCCTCCGCATGTGGGTTTATACAGGAAGATTCTCTGGCAGTACAAAGGACAGAGGCTTGGCCACCTGGGCAGGGCACAGGGAAGGGCCTGGCTGCCGCCAGGGCAGGTTTTTGCTAAGGGCACAGACTGCAGTCAGCCTGAAGCGTTGCCACAGCCAGGCGGGGGGGAGGGGGGGGGCGCTGGGTGGGGCCCTGGCTCAGGAGGCCTCAGGGCGTGGCTGAAGACTGTTCTTGCCACAGCGCCCCTCTCTGGAAGTATTGGAAGTATCCACGACTGTCAGCCACCGCTACTCATGAGACCAACATTTACCTCCAGTGAAATAACGCATACTATTAGGTTGTCCTAAGGGCACCAGGTAATTCTTGCCATTTAACTATAAAATAAACACAACTTTTCAAATTCTGGAATAAGCGAAAATTTCCATTGAACGGAGGGAGGCAAAGACACATGGCCTGGACGCGGACAGGGTGGTGGAAAGTAAGTTTTTCCAGGGAACCTACAAAAGAGACGGGAGCGAGGAAGAGAAGCTGTCCTAAGTATGTGGACCTCCATCTCCAGAGCAGACACCGGAGGAGCCCGCCCCTCCCCTGCCCCTCCTCCAACATATCCCATGTCCAGACGCCGCGCTCTATAACGCATCTGAAAAATACCACCGTTAGGATTTCCAACCCAGGGAAATCCATCATGATTCTGGATTTGGTTTTTTGGCATTTCTGCAGTTTGAACTCTGGGCCTCGTGCTTCCTGACAGTCTAGATTCTTGTGACTTATTTTTCAAATAGGAACTTCCTTCCTTCCTGGGTTCTTGCCTGGATGATGCTGGCAACTAGAATCACGCCCTGCCTGCCCAGCTCTTCATTGAGATGAAGTCTTTTCAACTTTTTCTGACCAAGCTGGCCACGAAACAGTTCCAACACTCTCAGCCTCCTCAGTAGCTTGTACTACAGATAGGAGCTACTAGCACCCAGCACCAACGATTTATTACTTATTTAATATTTATGTTTGTGCTGGTCCTGGGGCTTGCAACCAAGGCCTGGGCACTGTCCCTGAGCTTCTTTTGGCTCAAGGCTGGCACTCTACCATTTAAGCCACAGCTCCACTTCTGGCTTTTTGATGGTTAAAGATAAGAGTCTCCCAGGTTTTCCTACCCAAGCTGGCTTTGAACCATAATCTTCAGATCTTAACCTCCTGAGTAGCTAGGATTATAGGCACAAGCCTATAATCTAAAATATTTATGTGTTACTGGCCCTTGTTTAGTTTTACTGATGCATGATGATGAAGGTGAATGCAGGAGGTAACAGCAAAGATTTGTCTTTGCAGGATAGAACTGAAAATTTATTCATAAAAGCTTAAAATTAATTAAATCTTACGGTACTTTTTAATCCTAGCAATTCACATTTTTCACTCAATTAAGATCAAGCAGCTTGGGGCTGGAAAGGTGGCTCAGTGGTAGAGCACTTGCCTTGCATGCCTGAGGCCCTGGGTTCGATTCCTCAGCACCACATAAGTAAAAACAAAAAAGCCGGAAGTGGCGTTGTGGCTCAAGAGGTAGAGCGCTAGCTTTGAGCTGAAGAGCTGAGGGACAGCGCCCAGGCCCAGAGTTCAGGCCCCACAACTGGACCCAAAAAATAGATAAATAAATCAAAAAGATCAAGCAGCTTGACTTAAAAAGTCTTCTACCAGTTTTCTATTGGAATGGTCATTAGAGAAACCTCTCTAAGAGCTTCTACAGAGTAATAGAGCCTTCCTTGGGTGCCAACTTAAGATAATGAATCATACTAACGATGCCAGGTCTGAGACTTTCAGACGAGATTCTCTTACAGATCAAAATTAAGAAATGATAAACGAACCCACAGATGTTGTCTAACCATTTTGATTACATAAAATGTTCTTCACCAAAACGTCTAAGATGAGTAGGCAAAAAAGAAGTTGTGGCTGTTCAGAACCTGAGCTGCTCTCACGATCAAGAATTCTGGGAAGAGAGACACCTGCAGCATGTGCGGCAGAGAGGAGGTTTCCTAAGGCACCAAGGCATGTGGAGCTGAGCACCTCCAAGCCAGCACCACCACCCGCTACGTAACTGGCTTGATGATCTCAAGCAAATTCTCACCCTCGGGACTCTGCTTCCCCTTCTACAAGACAGGAGTGAGTGACGTTGTTTTGTAAAAGCTAACTCAAATGATATGAAGATCCCAAATTGCTGGCGCCAAGTGAGGCTAAGTTGTAGCGCCCCCTCTAGTCACCCACCTCTCCTGGCTCCTGCTCTTGCTCAGCTTTCTGAGGGCAGAACAGTGCATTGCTCTGTTTGGCCAAAAAAAAAAAAAAAAAAAAAAAAAAAAGGCTGACAAATGGTTGGTAAAGACACTGGTAAGTGGTTTTTGCTGATGTTTCTGTGGTGGGTACAGAAGCCAGGGCTGCCACTCTGCCACTGGGCTACACTGCTAGATTCTTTTTTTTTTTTTTTTGTCAGTCATGGGCCACTTCTGGTTTTTTCTGCTTTAGTGGTGCTGAGGAATTGAACGCAGGGCCTCATGCATGTGAGGCAAGCGCTCTACCTCTGAGCCACCTTCCCAGCCCCACCGCTGGATTCTTGACAAGCAGTGTGCATTGAATAAATACTACTGACTGAAGTGTACTGAAACAATGCAGCTATCGTGAAAAATGCTGACACCCCGTTACCTACATTTGAAGTAAACAATTACAACGTACAAAATCAAATAATTCAATTCTATCTTGAGATCAAAGCCAGCAGCATCATGTTAGTATGTTGCTGTGAATAAGAAATGAAAAATTTGAAATAAGACAGTTTAAATCACATGGAAAATTAGATTTGAACACATTTCAGCACAAGCAGTATAAATCAAATTAGAGTGATCTAATTTAATGGACTATTATCATCTTTTCAAACATAAGGTGAAAGCAAAACGAGAAGTTTAAAGTAATGCATTACTGGCGAGAAGAATGAGCCAAGCCTCCCTTTTCAAGGACTTAATTTGTACTAAAAGATTATGGGAATAAGACTTCCTAAAAGGTTTTCAATTTTGTGTTTACCAAATATAATCCACCCACTTTTATTAAATGAGTGGAATAGTTCAAGTCAGAAAAAGAGATAAATCCCCAAAGTATTTGGGGATTGTGCACTGTGAGCATGAGTAACTACTGATTCAGCCATTCAAGCCAACAGAAATTAGTCATTTGGTAACACACCACAAGTCCATGAATGATCACTGGCAATCCTGTCAGCAACAGCCAGACATCTACCTATGTACATACAATGGAAGTGTTTTGCTCTTAGAAGAATAAAAGAATGATTACAGCTGGGCTATGTGATGGTTCACACCTGTCATCCTAGTTACTCAGGAGGCTGAGATCTGAAGATCACAGTACAAAGCCAGACTGGGGAAGAAAGTTCATGAGATTCTATCTCCAATTAACCACCCAAAAGTCCGCAGTGGAGCTGTGACTCAAGCAGTAGAGCGCAAGCCTTGAGACAAAAACTCAAGAAGAGCATAGGGCCCCAAGTTCAACCCCCAGAGCCAGCATACACACAGCAGAAGAATGCTAGCGGCTTACAGACACACAGGCTGCACTATACATATACAAACACTGATCCCCAGGAATACGTTTGGCTAGACAGATAGAAGACGCTTGAGTACGTGGCTTATTGCCCTGTAGGGATTATCTTGCCCTTAAGGAACTGTTCCTGAGCACTGAGGGCCAGTGCTCTCTCACGCTGAGCCACAGCACCATTCCCTCTATGCTCGCTTTTCATCCTTCACCAGGCAGGGCATTTCCAGCATTTCATCCCCAAACCTAACGATGATGATGTGTTCCTGTGGGATGCACTGGTAAGAGGACTGCGGTCTGAGGCTGGGTCCTGGCACAAAATAGGATAGTATAACAAAAGTAAGAACTAAAGAAAAAGAAGTGTCAAGTTCAAACCCTAATGCCACCAAAAAAAACCCCAAACCCACCAAATCTAGCCCACTCAACTTGATGTGTACTAAGCCAATCAGCTGGCCCATTGAACTAATAGTTAAGTGAATCATTATTACACTGCGGACACTTTTTTTTCTAGATGTGTGGCCATGGCAATGAATAAAACAGGCAAAAATGAACACCCTTATAATGACAGGAAAATGTCTACGCAGCGAGGGAGGGCGTGACGGAGGAAAATTAATAAACTCTGCAGAATGTGAGAAGGTGAAGAAAATAACGCAGGGCGGCGGTGGGAGGGGGAGCCAGCTTCACTTTCAAGTGCGTGGTCAGGGCGCAGCCAGCACTTCCAGACAGGAGGAGGAGGAGGGAGAGAGGGCGAGGAGCCAGGGCGAGGCCAGGGAGTCCGGCCGGCCTGTCCTTACCAGGCCTGCCTGGTGCCACGATGCTCCGCCAGCCTGGTCCGCCAGCTCTGCCCACAGCCCGGCCTGTGTTCCTGTCTCTCCTTACCCCACTACCTGATCTGCATCCATTTCTATGGGTCTTTCTGACGAGGTTCAAAGCTGCCAGTGGTTCTGCCTCCGTGTTCTCTCTTCCTGGGCTTCCATGCGTTTCCACCTCCCCATGCCAGCCAAACTGTTCTTGTAATCATCAGGGCTCTGCTACCAAGCCCAGGAGTCCAGATGGCAACTCAGCTGTCCCGAGCACTCAGCACGGTGCACCCTCCCCTCTGCGCTGGTGCTAAGATGAAGTACCCTCTCCTGGCGTCAGTCCTACCTCCGACCCCCACCCCCATGTAATTGTAACCCCTCTGTACAGTATTTTCACAATAAAAAAAAAGAAAGAAAAAAAAAAGAAAGTAGTCACCAGAAAAACAGGTAAGCATCCAAATAGGAAAAAGTTAGGAATCAAATTGTCTGATCACTGATAACATCTCATCTATGCAACCCTATAAATTTTATTTTAAAAATTGACTAATAAACCAATTTAGTAATGTAGGGAGTGCAAAATGAATATACAAAATCTCATACTATTTTAATATGCTAACAATCTTTAAAAATCAGTAAAAATTTCCAAGGTCTCAAGAAAACATTAATATGTCAGAGAATATAAGCAAACATGGTATAATAAGTCAAAAGTTAGCTTTCTTATAAAGATGGCCAATGATAAAATAAAGCAATAGGAAATAAATTAGTGGCTGGTATCACATATTTTAAAAATCAGCAAAAAAAGTCCAGCTACAATCTCATTGAAAAAATTAAATACTTAAGAAAAATTTAACCAGAGGTTGAAGATATATACATCTAAAAGTATAAAATACTTGTGAACAGATTGAAAAATAAATAAATAAAAAGACATTCCATGTTCATGGACCTGAAGAACTAATATTATAAAAATTATCCATACAACCAAAGCATGTGCAGATTCCACACAATCCTCACCAAACTTCCAGTGACATTTTTTATGGAAATAGACAAACTTAAAATGTAGATGGATCTAAAAATGCACCCCCAAGGTCAAAGCAATACTGAGCAAGAACAACAATGCTGGAGGCCTCACAGAGTAAACTCAGTCCTGGTCCTGAGCCAAAGAAGCCTATAATGGAATGAGCAGAGAAAACTAGCCTCCCCTAGATTTAATGACAAACATTATACTTGACAATATCACGTCCTGTGCTGGATGGGTGTAGTGTAAAATGAAGACAAGAGCCTAAAGAGTGGCTGGAGTCTTTCTAAAGCTGCTAAGAAAGGACGGTGATGTCAGAGGTGAGGTCTGAAGGAACTATCTCTGGGATTCCTTCCAAATCCATTATCTGAAGAGGAATTCATCCAAATGGACGCCGCTATCAGCCCCTGAACTCCATGTTTACTTCACAGTATCATGGAATGTTGGAGCCAAAAGGTATCTCCAGCTTGGTCATCTTTTAGTCTGATTCCTGACACAAAGGCAGAAACTGAGGCCCAAAGAGATTAAGAAGTTAACTGCCAAGGAAAACACAGCTTAGTAGTGCCTAATCCAGAAGAGTTAAAAATTAACTCCAATAGTAGTAGTTTAAGGAATTGGTATTTTAGATGAAGCATGGCTGGGCGGTTGTGTGTACTTTGTCCCAAAGACCAGCTCCTCTGTGGACTCAAGAAGGGGAGATGATGATCAGAAGCTATCATCAAGATGATGATCAGATTGTCATGAGGGAGGTTTATAGGACCTGCTACTACCTAGGTGCATAATAAAATGCAATGATTTCAAAATTGCAATATATGTATGTATGTATGTATATATGTATGCATATATATACACATATATATGTGTATATATATATGGCAGAGTGGTGTGGTGGGATTTTACACAGACTGCATATATATATATATATATGTATATATATATATATATATATATATGCCTGACCAATAAAAGGATGCTAGAGGATAGATTGGTTTGTTAGCTTGAAATAATCTTATATATGTGTGTGTATGTGTGCATATACATTTATATATAAACCATCGCATCATCCCTCATCAGCAAAAACTGCCATGATTTGACAGTTAAAACTTTTTAAATGAAACAAAAACCGTACTCAATTTTAACCGAGAAAGTGTTAAGCCAGGAGCAGGTCGCCTCCCCACGCAAGTTCTCTCTCTCGTGCTCCATCTCTACAGAAAAGCCCATGGTCCCTCAAGCTTGGCTTTTTCTCTTCTTTGTTTCCCCTTTTTACTTTCTTTGGTTTTTTTTATTGCATGCACATATTTACTAAACAGCTCTTCAGCTTTGCTTTCACATGAGCACAGCACTGGACTATCCCTTCATACACGCTCTTCAGTGACACCCGACCCTTATTCACGCTCAGATTTCTAGCAGTTCATTCATTTCATCACTGTGCTACCACATTTATGTCATGAGAATAACTATTCATGCAAACACTTCCTGAGTGTGCTACAGCTGAATAGACTGGACGTGTTCATTCAATTTGTACACCTTCGTAAATTCATGAATTCCTAAGTTCTCACTGGTTCTGGCACTTTCCTGTCAACTGCTAAGTTCTCTGCTCCATTTCCTGCCCACTTCCTGTCCTTCATTTCATGGTCTGGGATCCCCTCCCTCCAGATTCTCCACGGCACTAATCACCTTGGTCCATCTCTTGTCTGTGAACCCTATTTGGGGTCATTTCTATTTTAGATATATCTTAAGCTCATAAAATGTCTCTCGATTTCCATCTGAAGCTAACCCCATCTATTCCCTTTAACTTCGATTATTTTATACTTCCTCAAGAGAAACTTACTTGCTACCTCTGACCACCAGGTGTACGTTATTTAAAGTTGCTGCTCCTGAACATTTATAAAGTTTTTTTTCTTCTGTTCAACATCTTAAACATGGTTGTCTTTGATTTCTGATAATCCCAATATTTTAAGTCTTTGCTCATGTTCTCTGCCTGCTACTTTTGTTCTTTCTCATTCTTGATTTGTTTCCCTGTATGTTGATGACTTTTCACAGGGAAATTCCTCCTTGGCCCCTGCGTTTTCTTACAGTTCCCAGGGCTCGGGTAGAAAGGAGACATGTGATTTCTTGTTTACTTTTGCTTTACTCATCCCAGCTTTGTAGCATGTGCTCCTGCATTTTAAATTATTCCGGTAGACAGATTATTTCTGGGTCCTACTCTACCCACATCATCAGAAAAGTTTGATTATTTCATTAGAACCAAATGCTGTTCTCCTGGGCCCAAGTCCTGTCCATTTGGAAGCAAAAACATCAGTAAGTCAAGGCACACTCCGAGCAGTTTTAGACCTAAAGTGGATCATAAATCAATGCCTTGGAGCATCTTGGAGCATCCATCTGTGTCAATAAATATTTTCATTAACTGACTTTTTTTTTTAGAAGACAAAACTCTTTCACATAGAATCCTTTAAACCTTTCCAGCAGCATCTTCTAGTATCACTTTCCTAAGTAAGAGGTACGTGTGTTAGCAAGGTCCTGGAAGACAGCAGATCTTCCCTGTAAACCCACTCAAGCTGTCAGCGTACGGGCCTCTGCCGGCATTGACCATTTTCATTGTTACATTCAACGTCTCTAGGAAGTTCTATTTGTAGGTTTTAATGGAATTTGTCTAAGAATGAAGCAGACACTAAAATTTATTGAGCAAAGTACCAGGTGCCATGCTGAGTGTACATGTTAATTCACATGAACTTTTATTACTGTCCTGTGAGCTTAGTAGTAACACGCCTAGCTTTTATTTAAAAAAAAACAACTAGACATATACTCATGAACGTATAGCTATTGAGTAATAAATTCAAGATTTAAACCAATTCCACATGACTTCTAAAGAATACTTTTCAATGCACCATGCAAGCAAAATCTACTCTATTAATTTCATCAAATGGTAAGAATCTAATTACAGAAACTGACTATCAAGGGGAAATAGTGAGATATGCTATCACCATTCAATCCTTAACCTGTCTATCATTTGATCTTTACAACTTATTTTTGACAATGGAAGGTAGAATCTCTTCTGGATAACTAAAAAAGACCTGAGAGGTTCGAGTATTTAACTCAACATGCATAGGTTGGATGACAGTCTTGGCACTGTGCTGTTACACTGTCAAGTCAATGTTATAAATATTGCAGTATTTATAAGGGACTATGTTTTGATCCTACTTACAACCCAGCAAATTATTCAATAACTGCTTTCAAGCCATCAAGAGACAGAGAACTTGAAAAGACTTGCCTCCTCCTAAGGAAACTCACAAGACATTTCTGATCCTAAAACACAGGCCCTCGAAGTCTGTATACAGGATAATTCTCTGCCACTCCTCAATGTGAAACTTCACAAATTGGAAGACAATAGTATTATCTCAAAGTATTTTCTAATATCAGATTCATTTAAGTTTAAAAATGTCTAATAAAGGTCATGGTATGTAACTCAGTAGTAGATCCTCTGTAAGGATCTGGGTTCAAGCCCCAGCAGTGCAAGAAAACTACCTCAGAATAAAAATACTTTTACTAACTAGTATTTATTGATTGAACTTGAAGGTTATTTTAAGTTAAATGGTATTTTCTCCTCTTGATGGCCCAAAGAAATTATCTGAGCAGCTACTTGAAAGCATTATCTATTTATACCCGAATCTGGAGGACTGTTTAAAATATATCGTAGGTCTGAACTAAATACTGATCTCACAAAGGTAATTTGATGCTTAAATTTGTCAAGAAGAATGAGAAAGGTATTCATAACATAATTTAAATTATGTAGACAAAAATTAAGATGGACCAACCTAAGAGATTTGCTATGATCACACCACATGAAAAAACAGGTACATGTGAAACTTCTGAAGTTGTATTTGGATGTCAAGCTATTGATTTTTTTCTAAGGGCAATTATATTTTCTAGGTGAAAAATCAGGACATACAAGCCTATAATTTTCTTCTGAATTTTGAATTCATGAAAAGTCACACAAACTTTTATAAGTTGATAAAATATTCATTTTACAAATTCTTTGATAAATTGTATTACCCTGGGACTGTCCTAGTTTTTCTGTTTACCATATCAATCCACCATACCAAAATAATTCCTTTTAAGATGCTAATCGTGTTGCTTCTTCTTCTGTAGACATACATCTCTGCTCAGTGAAAGTTAGAAAGTTTTCATGAAGAATTTTTAATGGGAATTTATCACATAATATCCTTGAGTTGCCATATCATAGTTAGCACAACATAGCACCCTTTCTGTTTATGTGTCAAGACTTGAAAAACAAAGGGAAATCTAGAATTTTCTAATGATTCTGGACAAATAAAAAAGACCAGAGAGAATTTCCTAAAATTTCTAGAAGAGATTCTCCCCCTCACCCCTCCGGATTTGGATATAGTTTTGGAATGATTAAAAAAAAAATCTGTTCTGTTACAAACCAAAAATCCAGAGACCCACACTCACCTGCTTAAAGAGCTGAAGGTTGACGGCAGTTTCCAGGAACTGCTTCATCACACTGGAGCGGTGCTTCACAAAGCTCTCCTCACAGAAAGTGACAGGCTCACCCTAACAGAGAGAAGGAGTTCAAGGCGTCAGTCAAAGGCCAGTCAGAGAGAACCGGTCTCTCTAGGGAGGCGCATGGAAAGCCACTGCGTGTGAGACACAGATGGTAGATGCAATAACCAGATTTCAGGATGAACCTGGTATGCCTGCACTGAAAGTGCTCTACAAGAACGTTCTAATCAAGCACCCCACGCACTCTTACAACTGTTAATTTCACCACTTCAGAGTAGAAGGTAAACCCCCTAAAAATACCTTGACATTTTTAGACTGAACTTTTGAGTTTCAACATAGGATGCATGCTTGGGAAAGCACAAGGGCAATATTTGCCATTCACCTTTTTTAAATCATCATCTATTTGTTTCTAAATGGAGAAGTCTTCTATGCCTTCTCTGCATGACTGCCATACAATCCTGATCAGAGCTGCTCTAGGGTAAGTCCCACCAGGCATCTGCTTCCAGTTAGCTTGTGTGCTAAGTCAAGCAAGCGTCATTCGGTAGCGCTAACAGGTGTTCCCCCTCCAAATCAACTACAGATTCCTCTTGTCTGCATGTTCCTGGGTGAGCAGCACAGAAAGCCACCACTTCCCCGCTGATGCCTACCACCTGCGACCCCTTCATCAGCGCACTCAACACCGACCAAGACTGTACTTTATGATCAAAAAGAAAACACGCCTACCATCATGACCCCAATCTACTCATGGAGATGAACGCCCTGGCAGTAAAAAGGAAGCCGGGAGCCTGTTCACCTAATGGAACCTGGAAGGGATATTATGACTCAACTACAAGGCAGATGTGAGGCTTTGATTACAGGTATCTGTAATGCAACATCCCAACAATAAGCTTATAGGCGAATAAAATGATACCATGAAATAAGATAATGAGACTAACAATCTGTGAAGTTGGGCTGCTGTTTTATGATGCTCTAGCACTGCACTGTCCCATAAATCAGCCACTAGTCATGTAGAAATATTAGGGTAAATAGATTGAGTAAAATAAATTAAGTCCACTTCCTATGAACTCTTTTGCACACAAGGCACACATACACAGCTAGTGGCTATGGTATTGAGCAGCTCAGATACCAAACATATTCTTTGGGACAAAAAGTCTTCTTGGATAAAACTTCTACATAAAGAAATGCAGACAAATTACTAGAGAAGACACTGCGATGCTCCCATCCCCTTTCATTAGCCAACAAGGCACCCCCACACACACACACCACACACACATACCACACCACACACACACAAAATGCATCATATATCTTACACTGACTGTTGGTGCTCTGAAGAGCACCAGGATTATTTATTTCAATTACACACTCCAAAGCCAGGCTCCAGTAGTTCACACCTGTAATCCCAGCTACTCAGGAGGCTGAGATCTGAGGATTCTGGTTCAAGCCAACCTGAGTAGGAAAGATGGCAATACTCTTATCTGCAAAAAACTACCATAAAAGCCAGAAGTAGAGTTGTCCCTCAAGTGGTAGAGCAACTAGCCTTGAGCACAAAAACCTCAGGGATAGCACCCAGGCCCCTGAGTTTATGCCCCAGGACCAGCTCCCCCACTCCCCCCCAACAAAAAATTACATAGTTATGCCAGGCACCGGTGGTTCACACCTCTCATCCTAGCTATTCAGAAGGCTGAGATCTGAGGATTGGGGTTCAAAGCCAGCCCAGGCAGGAAAGACCATGAGACTCCTATCTCCAGAAAACTGGAAGTGTAGCTCAAGTGGTAGAGTGCTCGCCTTGAGCTGAAGAGCTGAGGGACAGCGCCCAGGCCAGGGTTCAAGCACCATGACAGGCAAAAAATAAAATAAAATTACATAGTTCAAATATTATAGCGAGTTAGACTGATATATTTTGAATGATCAAAAAGCACTGCATTACTAGTGCCCTCGAACCTACAATCTAGTAGAAGGAAAAAAGCAGCAGTCAATCCTGTTAAAGACAAAGGCCTATTGTCTTTCTATGTATCTCCAGCATCATATTGTTACAACAGGAGCCCAGTAAATAAATGTTTAATCCATCAACAAGCAAGCAAGCAGGCAGACAAGCAAGCAAGCAAACAAGCCCTTTTTCAATCGGGCACAAAAATTTTCAGAAATAAATACAATTCAAACAAAAATAATTGCTTTGGTGCTTGAATTAGTTAATAGTGAATGTTAATTAGACAAAGAGATCCCATTGTGATATTTCCATATGACATACAATGATCAAATACACTCTACTGCTTTCCTAGCATCCTTCCTATTGTTTTAAAACATCATTATGGTCCTCCTTGTTCTGTGTGTGTGTGTGTGTGTGTGTGTGTTGATCATATACACCTACCCTCCATCTCTCCTTTCATTGACATTCTCCTCTCCAAAACAGTTCCTTCACTTGACACCTGTGCCATCCAAAAAATGAATGCTCTAAGGGAAGTTCCATCTGCATCACTACAATTACTAAATGATCAAGATGAGGTATAATTTTAGTTTACATGTAATAGGTTTCTCCTAAAACACACAAGGCTATATAGGTGAGCTAAATGTTATCGACATTGAAGAAAAATACTGTTCAATTCAAATAGAACCCTCTACCTGCAACTGAAAGGTTTAGACTTCCTACCACATACACACACATCTTTTTTTTTTTTGGTGGAGGTAATGGAGGGTAAAGTGCCGGAGAATTCCAAGGCAAGAGACGGGCAAAGATACTAAAATCAACTTAATCTTTCTCAAGAGTTGTGCATGATCTAACACAAAAACTCCATCCTCATGCATCTTTGCGTCAATGCTATCCATCCTTCACAAGGCGGGAAGTAAAGCTCTGGTTTCTTGCGCATCCATTTCTGAGGACATAAAGCATGGTAAATCTTCGAACTAACTTTTCATATTCTGATCAAACACAGTTGGTTTACTAAGAATCTCTAATAATAACAGAATCCAGACACACATTGTAATTTTCTTCTAGGGAAATGAAAAATAGTGTTTGTTGTCAGGGCTCTCTGGTTCTATGTGTTTGTGCATCAGTACACTGAAAGTTCTGGTGCTGATATTCTCGGGGGGGCCTGAATTCACTGCCATCCTAGGGCGCCTGGTCTGAAGCAGTTGACACATGGCTCCTAAGCAAGCACTTTCAAATCCAAGTTGACCTGAATGACTGGAGAAAAAGAATTCTGCCTACACTCTTAACCAGGGTTGAGATGATTTTTTTTTTAAGTTCATGTAGCTAACTACACTGCACACCATTTTGGAGTTGAGAGGGAAGGGGGGATTAGGAATCAACAAGACTGTCACCTGATCTGCAGCAGGGCTTCTCAAAGTATTACCCAGGTACACAGGCAGGACTCGCTCCATTAAAACCAATCCTGGCATTGTGTGCGCCATCCCTTGCCCTTTTTACTACAATGCTCTCCAGAGACCCCGTGGTATCCACCAGAGGCTCTGCAATTTTCCATACTAAATGTGGACGCAGTTATCAGCAGCACAATCCAGTTATCTTGTATGCACCAGCTAGTAAAAAAAATAAAATAAAATATAAAACAATTCCATGCTCTAAGCAGACGGTTGAGAAATAGTTTACTTTTAGCCGGGCACAGTGACTCATACCTGTTATCTAGTCTGAAATCAGAAACTTCACAATAAGGAAATATTTAAAACATAGATTCGAAGGAAATATTTAAAACATAGATTCGATCTTATGCTGTAGGGAGGAGGTACATGACTTACGAAGAGCTCAGACCGGAAAAAAAAAGTAAGGTACCAGAAAAAGTGATACTTGACAAAAATGTGAAATATAATCCCAAATCATTATATACTCAGTGTACACTCAAGCAGTTCCATAATGCACCTGGACTTCATATGTACTGTCACCAATATATAAGGAATATAAACAAATGAAGCAAAAATGTCTGCATACTGAGAGCTTTCAAATTTAAAGTCTCTGAAAGGCTGTCAGGTTTCTCTTGGGAATATTCAAATTGGTGCAGGCTCTCGCAGGAAATAACATAAGTGATTTTCAGGATACACAGCATGGTTCTTTCAAGAATGCTATTTTTATGGAAGGTATAGCAAGTTTATGCTCAGTTTATTAACTATGAAAAAAAAACTTTCTTCTCCTACAGACACTTCAGCACAGGAAAAAAAAACCCTTCTATGCAAATTATAAACTAGAATTATTAACAGCAAAATACTCCCTTTGTACACATTATACTCATTTATTCCAAAGTTAATAGATCTTGAAAAAAATATATACAGCTACTTCCTCATTCCCCATTTTCCTTTGAGCCCGTAACCTGAGACGGTTTAACAGAAATGGCTTTTCTAAATCAGACATAGAACCTTCTAGCATTTTGGTTAAATTCGAACACTCAGAATATGACTGGATGATAAATTACTTGTGTACATATTATTTAAAAAATTCACTTCCTTTCCTATAACCAAGGAAATAAGAAAAATAATTCCTAGTGACAACCATCGCCAGTCATCGAACAACAGACACTTCCCTGCCCAGGAGGCTCAGGTCACAGGCCCCGCTGCGTGGACAGCATCCACATTCTAGCTGCAGCAATTAGGTGAAATTTTATCCCTGTTAATTAAAAGAACAGAAAGCGACTCCAGAATCACACAAGATGTTCTGCAGCAGCAGAGGCCCCCCCTCCACGCAGAAGCCTGGATGGTAATGAAGGGAGCCCACAAGGCTGGAGCAGGCAGGGATAGAGCTGAGCGGGAGGAGAGGAGGAGACGGCTCCACTCCGATGTTGAACACGCACACCGTTACAGATGCATCAAATGGAGTCACTGGAGCCTGAGCTTCGTTGCCAAGTACAACTTTCCTTACTGATCGAGGTTTACAGAAGAATAGAGCCCCAGAAGAGTTCAAAAGACAACCCTTTCATCCATTTGTCAAACCAAGGCCCCGATTACATACCAATCGTCATTCTCTAAGTCATTTATTTTTAATTAGCCAAGCTCAAGGCAGCCTCGGGAAGGTTGAGAAGAGGGCAGGGCAGGCTAGCACTTCAGGAGGAAAGGCGAGTTACCCCGGGACCCTCGCAGGACAATCGAGGACACACACATTTAGAGCACTCAGTAAAGCTTTTCCCTCCCCATCCCTTAAGAAGCCGGACAGTCAGAAGTTTAGCTTTTACTTTTAATCACTGGAGACCCAAATAACATACAAATGTCTAACTAATATTGAACGCAATCATTTAAAAGGATCCTATTTGTAACGATGATTTTCTTTTTGGAGATGAAATGTGATATACTAAGGGGATGGTTCCTATCATGTTTACTGCTTCCAAATTTTGTTTAGATTCATTTTGTTCGGTGTGCGCCAGTTCGGGGGCCTGAAGTCAAGGCCTCAAGCCCTCCCGGCATTCTTCACTCTACCACTTCAGCCACACCTCCACTTCTGCCTCTTTTCTGGTTAATTGGAGATATGAATCTTGGAAATCTTTGTGCTGGCTTTGAACCATGATCCTCAGATCTCAGCCTCCTGAGAAGTGATGATTACAGATGTAAGCTACCAGCACCCGGCTAACACTCAAAGCAGAGCTGATGGCTATAGCTTGGACCCTGACCTTCTCACAAGGGCCCCTGGGTTAGGAGCCAGGGGAAGCTACTGGTGAGTGGGGGAGCTACTGGTAGGTGGTTGAGCCTTTGGGTGGGGCCAAAAGCGAGGTCCTCCAGTCCCAGGCAGCATGTCCGGCAAGGGGACTGAAGCACCAGTTCCTCACTTTTTCTGGCTCATTTTGCAAGCTGGTTGCTCCACCAGATACTTCTCCAACCAATTTCTTGCCACAGGCCCAAAGAAATGGGGCCAAATAGCAATGGCCTGGGACCCCAAAACTGTGAGCCCAAATAAACCTGGATCTTTTAATAACTCAACTAACTTGATTTTCTAAATACTTTCACATACTGCTTCCTAAGTTAATTATGTTGTTATGGTAATGAAAGGCAGATGAACACACTAACATAAAACATTTATGATATATGTATACATATATATGTATATACATACATATATGCAGAGACCCCCCAATGTTTAAGCTGATTATACAATTTCATGCATTGAATGTTGTATATGTATATATATGCATACATATGAATATATGTACACATACATACATAGAGATATAGATTGAGCTCAGGCCTCACACTGGCTCAAGCTGCAACTCAGATAATGGTGCTCTAGGACTTCAATCATGCCTCCGAGTGTGCTTTTTTTTTTTTAACTAGTTATTTTGAAGATTGAGTAGAGTCTCTCCAGAATGGCCTTGAACTCTGATTCTCCAGATCCCAGCCTCCTGAATAGCTAAGATTATAGGTGCCAACCACAGCACCTGGCTTTTTAACTTTCTGTTTTAGGTGCTGTTAAATAATTTGAGCGGGAATATATACTGTATAGATAGTTCATTTCTAATCTTCAGAAGGACTGGACCTTGAGATTAAGAAGAATTTCTGTCCTATGTTAGATATGTGCTACAGAACTTACTCAGAGCTGTGAATTCTAAAAGGCTTTAAACACGTGCACACATGTCAAACAGATGAGCTGTGCGGTGGTGTGGACAAGTCCTCAGGTCATGTTATTTTAGGAAATAGTGTGTGGTCTTCCCGTTACTATATGGCTACTGTATGGATCCGGGACCCTACTTCCTTTTCCTGGCCATGAGGAGCGGGACTTCCCTCTTGTTCACAGTCCCTCAGGAGGTGCTGCCACAACACAACCCCAAAAACAACCCGGCCGGCCGCCACATAAACCTTTCTTCATTGTAAGTTGACGTCCTCGGGCATTGTGCCACACTAACAGAAAGCTGACTAACACAATCTGTTAACCGAACACACATATTTATCTAGAGACAGCCACGACACAACCGTGCATTTAAGCACCCTTTCTACTAGCTCCATTACCCTTCGAAACCATGAGAACCACTAAGTGGGCACCACTAATTCAAAAGGCCATTTAGAAAGCCTAACAGATTCATGTTTGCTTCATGCTTCATGGTTTACAATAAGATTTACACATTGACTCTTGTTTTAAAATAATATAAAAAAAATTTAGACTTAGGGGTTACAAGTAGCTCATCAATGATTAAGTAGCAATGTTATCATTTCTCTTACTACTGATTCACTGTTTTTATCCTTTGAAACTTAGTCATCTGGTCATAATGTTTTTTTCTTTTATAAAACCAGCCTCTCAGACTTTAATCAGTAATACAGAGAGAAACAAACAGATTTGTCTGATGCTTTCTTGGACCACCTTAAAACTTGGCAATCATTTTATACAACAATCAGTTTCAGAGTATTAAATGGCAAAATGAGCTAAGGCATACTAAATAGATAAGCCCATTTTGGAAAAGTCTTATGAATTAGGCAGACAATGTATTTCCAAACGTCACAAAATTAAGTTCTAACTTTTTTTTTAACTTTCACTTGGTACCTGTCATATCTAATCTCATTAATTAAATTATACACTGGTCTGCTGGATTGCTTAAAGATCTTAACAGAATCAGGTAAATGCTTTAAGATGCTTGAACACAATTCATTAATTAGGAAGCAAATGTTCCATTTTTAGAATTGAAATAGGATGATGTGCAAAAGAATGTGAGAAACATTAACTAAAGGTTACCAAAACGACTAGCAACAAAAAGTCAGGAAATGGAAGATATCGGGCACCACTGGCTCATGCCAGTGATCCTATCTACTCAGAAGTCTGAGGTCTGAGGCTCGCCATTCAAAGCCAGCCCTGGCAGGAAAGTCCGTGAGATACTTACATCTCCAATTAACTAGCAAAAAGTCAGAAGATGAGCTGTGGCTCAAATATGGTAAAAGGCTTTAAACATGCATGCAAGTGCTGAAGGACAGCGCCCAGGCCTTGAGTCTTGAGTTCAGGCCCAAGTACCAGCAAACAAAAAAACTAAAAAACAATCAAAAAAAGAAAAGACAGACCAGACAGACATGGGAGAGATAGACATAGGTTTTACAGCATATTATACTGGATTTTAAGACAGTCCTGATACTTTTTTAAGGTGTGCTGTTACAATGAGATGTCCTCATTCTGCCCCGTTCCAAGCAGGCATTTGAAAAGCCTACTAAAATGATGATAAAGTAAATGCTTACGGGTTTGTATCTCAGTGCATCTCTGTAGGATCCAAACAAAGCCGCCTGAGCCCTGAGGAAGGCCCTGGCCACTCCGTCCCCCGTAGCTGTGGACTGCTTCTTCAGTTTATTTTTCAAGGCCGAGACCTGCGTGTCAGAGAGGAACGGTTAAATTAACACCTCAGAAATTGGTACAGCGAGGTACGAACCCAATCAGCAGGCAAACCAGAGAGCCTGCAGGTCAGCCAAAAAAATGTCTCCTCCCGCCCAATAGCTTATCTGTGCAACTGTGCAGGCACCTGCTGCTCTGCTAATTGAAAGGAAAGCAGGATGGATAGCAATCGGCTGATGCAAATTGGTTTATGCTCTTTTTTTTTCCTTTCCCAAGGCCTCTTGACATAAATAAGCTTTAATTACTTTACGGTAAACTGCTTACAAGCCACTTTTCCACACATTTTTAGGATTACATGTGTGTCTGCTTGTTTGGAGATAAACCTGGTTGGATATCGCTCCTTTCTGCGAGGTGAGGTCATTTGTTACGCGTCTTCTCGGTTTGCTCACAATTGCATTGTACTGTGGGAGGCCTCATTTGCATATATGATTTTCCAGGTATTTACTAAATAGTGTTTGTCATTAGAAAGAGCAGAGAGGTGATAAAGTTATTGAGACTGTTCCATGAGTGAAGAATCTACATTATGCAAATGTTATACACGGTCTCCTATAATCTTCACAAAGGTATCTTAAAAACACCTGTGTTCTCATTTTTGAATGAAAAACTAGGAGCATAACCCATGAATTAATCTGCTTGGACTGGGTAGCTACCAAGAGGCAAAGCTGTGATATGAATCTGCCGGATTTGTGTTCAATACTTTCGCCTTGTAAACCCCTAATCAGAATAATAAGCTTTTAAATAGAAACAATAATTTACCTATGCATTTACATAATCATGAGACAGTTTCAGTTGTAATCATGTATCATAACTAGCCCATCATTTACTTGTTTCGTTGTGGAGGGAGAGGGGTAGTTCAGTAGCTTAACACAGAGCCTGGGCGCTGTCCCTGAACTTTTTGGCTCAAGGTTAGTGCTCTACCACTTGAGCCACAGCTTCACTTCTCGCTCTTTCTGGTAGTTAATTGGAAATAAGAGTCTCATGACATTTCCTGCGAGGGCGGGCTTTGAACCACAATGCTCAGATCTCAGCCTCCTGAGTAGCTAAGATTATAGCTGTGAGCCAGTGGTGTCTAGTCCACCTTTTAATTTTAAATGCTATGTCTTTTGGAGAATTATACTTTCTACACACAGCCTTTAATCTTTTTTGTTTTGTCGGTCGTGGGGCTTGAACTCTGGGCCTGGGTGCTGTCCCTCAGCTCTTCAGCTCAAGGTGAGGGCTCCACCACTTGAGCCACAGCACCACTTCCGGTTTTCTGGTGGTTTACTGGAGATAGGAGTCTCACGGACTTTCCTACACGGGCTGGCTTTGGATGGAGATCCTCAGATCTCAGCCTCCTGAGTAGCTAGGATTACAGGTGTAAGCCATTGCCCCCGGGCTACAGCCTTTAATCTTAATCTTCTTCTTCTCCTTCTTATAACAGTACCAGGTCTTGAACTCAGAGCTGCCCCTTAGCTCTGTCACTCACAGCTGCTGACCACTGGTAGACCACTGGAGCCACAACTCCACTTCTGGTTTTGGCTGTTCATTGACAGTAGGAGTCTCATAGACTTTGCTCCTCAGGCTGGCTTTAACTCACGATCCTCAGAACTGAGCCTCCTCAATAGCTTTGATTACAGGCACCAGCCACTGATACTGTTCTTTACAAACAGCCTTTGCTTAGATTTAATTTTTAAATGAGCCCAGACTCGTGGTATAAGCACAGCGTTGTTTTTTTAAAGGAGAGCAGACAGTATACAGACCCATGCATCCAATCTATTCCAACAAGCCCCATCTCACAAGACAGAAAACTAGAGTCTATACAGACACTGGCATTCTCCTATCAAAATGTTCCTTATCAAAACTTCAAAAAGATGAGAGGCTGAGTAACCACCCTGTTCCCTTAAGGAAGAGAAACGTAAACACTAATGAGACAAATTCTAATTGCATGGCTCCTTTCATGGAGCATACTCTTATCCGTATGAAACTACCAGATAATAAAATAATGCCATTTGTCCTTTCCACAAATATTGCAAAAGGGAATATTTTTACTTCTTCCTGCAAGCGGTCCTGACTGCTCTTGTAGATGATTATTGTAATTGAAGTGTCAACCTAATTAACAACTAAACTTTGAATAATGCTAATGAGAAATGAACACAGCATCAGAGGAAGGACCAGCTCTACAGGTGATAAGCCTTCGCAGTGGTGACATTTCCCAGTGTAAAGTCACAACCACTGTGATCTGATCAAAGACATAGACCCCCATAGGGTCCAATTATAAGTAGAGTTTTGAAAAAATTATTGAGTTATCATATTCATAATCTATGCAGAAAGGCTTTCCAGTATAGGTCTCCTCCCATTACTGTGAACTTAGCAATTTAGATCCGTGCTCCATAGGTTCGGATAAAAGTTGAGTCTAACTCATTTAGCCCACAAAGTGCATAAACCAGAATTCACTTACGAGGAGCTTTTGTTACTAAAAATCTAACCTCCATAAATGCATGCTTTTAGGAAATCCACCTATTTCAAACAATGCAGTTGAAGGATGCAAAAAATAAACCTTCCAACTTGATGTCCTTTATTTTGGCTTAAAATAATAACTTTTTTCCTAAAGTTTCAAATGCCTTTAAAGAAAAGACCAATAGAGACATACATGTGTATACATATACATATATATATATAATACACACATTTATACATACATAGCTAGGTAACTTACTCTTCATTATTGATCCATTCCAAAGGATTATGATAGAAGAAATATGTTCCCAATATTTTAAATTTTGTAAAAGCAAATCATTGAGGGCTTTACCTTGCACTTTATAAAATGCACGAATAATTTTAAAGGCACATTTTCAAATTTTTGCAAAGGGACGGCTCAGATTTCACTGCCTGCGTGGCCCTGGTGACTCGGCCCTCCCTCCATCCGTCAAGGACTCGCTATGTGTTCAGAGCTCGCGATGGCAGTGCCTGCCATCTCAGGGACCAAGGCAGCCAGGCCGCTCCTCATCCTTCACCCCACCAAGCCCCCAACTGCACAGGAGCTGCTTGACCTGCCCAGGACCGGGCGCCACACTGCACCGCCCTTCCCAACCAAAGGGCAAGTAGGCCAGAGCCTGTCCTTCCCATCCCCAAGCCAGTCCCCCAGGACACTGTCTCCCCTCCACCCGCATGCGCAGAAGGCAAAGGGAAGGCCAGGGGAACTGCTTGTTAGCCATCCACAGGTCGGCCAGGGCACAGAGCAAGTGCAAGGTGACACCTTCCAACTCAGATCTGCTCCACGTGAGCAACGTTGCATTTAGAAGACACAGCATAGAAGTATTGGTGAATAATGTTCATACTTAATACATCTTGAAATACTACTGAGCATAGGATTAAGTGAAATCTATTGTTAAAAATGATCTTAACTGTTTCTTTTAACTTTTTGGATGAGACTACCAGGGAACTTGATGTTAAAAATACACAGCCCGCTGCTTTTCTACTGCATACTATTTTTCACAAACATATTTTCTCATTTTCATACAAATACCTGAGACTAGAAATCACCCAGTAGGAAATAGGGTTTCAGTTTGGTCTTTTGGTTGTGTTTTGTTTGGACTCTTTTCTACATGATTCCAGCTTTTACAAACTACATCAAAAAGAGGCTTTCCTTGGTCTAGTCTAGAAGGTTCCAGCTGTCAGTAGGTCTGAGGTCACCCCTGTTTCCCAGAGACAGAAAGACAGAAGTAACTGTCTCTACATGTGAAAATGAAGGCTCACAAATAGTCTGTGTGAATGAAATTGCTTCTGTAAGTCTGCTTTCGACCTAAGGATATTAATCTGACAGGAGATGCTGGTGTCAGCCCATGCTGTGTTCCTGGAGTAAATTCTCACCGGTTCCAGGGCCCTTTCCAGTGTTAATTAGCTTTTAGCAGTTTTTATCTATAAAATCACGGTGTCTCTTCTGCACTTTTTTTCTCAGGACCTGGTCTGAGAAACAGCATTTCCTGCTTTCATTCAAAACTACATTGTGTTAGAGAATAAATGTGCGTCCTCCCATGAAATTCTAAAGGATCTCAACCACACACAACTCTGAATTCATATGAGTGTTTAGTTCCTTAGTCCTACGGTTATTACGACGCATCCTACTGTACTGAAACAGTGCCATCATTTTCTCTTTGTATTTGTAAGAAAAGTAAACCAGCGACACCTCTAATGGCTAAATATTACCTCAGAACTGGTCTGCTTTATTGTTTTTTAGATGCTTTTGTCTGTGAATAAGTTTTTGTCTAATTGGGTACATATGGTGCCAAAAATGTTAAAACGGTGAAAAGAAAGTGCAGAAAAACATTTCATCCTTGCTCCTATCAAATGTTTAAATTCCTTTCCTGCAATGAGAACGGGGCCTCTATGCACCCCTGATCCAAGGAATTAGAAGCCGGATTTTAACACACAGGGAGTTTACTGCAGCCTGAATAATATTACCACTAATCCTCCACTTTTACCCTCTTTACACTGAAGCTCCGATGAATAAAAACGGGGCATTACAAAAGTAAACAGAGAAAACAGGGATAAATTAAAGAGTGCAAGCCACGTGCACGCAGTCTGAGTAATGAGGTAATTATGCCAACGGGAAGACTCAGAGGTGGGTTGTTTATCAGAGGGGCAGCACATTCTCCTCTTTCTCGACTTCTAGAAGCATCTTTATGCTGAAAACAAACAACGGCTATGCCTTGACATTCAAATTATTTTTCAGGACCACAAACAGAAACATTATGCTGCAAGAGAAATCCAGTGTTCACGAGTAACACTGAGGTGGCCTGCTCAGCCCGGGCCAGGCTCACTGAGGGAAAAGCACGTCACTCCGCGAGGCTGTTCTGGAGACTGTTCTGGAGACGCCGCAGCGTCTGCCGTGGGAATTTATCCTTTCTTTCTCACAGTCAACTTTTTTAAAGAAACACAATGAACACTTATCTGCTACTACAACATATTTTCTCACAAGACTCCATTTGAGGCCTAA